TGCGTTATGCGGGCCTCTCACAGTTGTGGCCTCTCCCATTGCGGAGCACAGGCTCCGGACGTGCAGGCTTAGCGGCCCAGCAGCTCCACATGTGGGATCCTCCCGGACTGGGGCACGAACCCGTGTCCCCTGCATCGGCAGGCGGACTCTCAACCACTGCGCCACCAGGGAAGCCCCAAGGATGTATTTTATGTTAGGAGAAAAAGAATATATTTTGGGAAATAGTTAAATAATGGGAAGATAAATGTTACTAAGTTGGAGCCACCTAAAACTCATTGTTTGGGTACTTTATATGGAATCAAATCCAAACTTTGAGTTTGAAACTTGGCATGACGTGATTTATTAAATTTCCGAAAATTTCTTTTCTTTTAAAAGGCTTAAAATTAGCATTGTTCAAACTTCAAAATCCCTTAACAGTATCATTTTAATTTTAAATTATTAAAAAATAATGCGAATGTCCCTTAATAAAGGACTTAAACATAGTTGAAGTGGGAAAATTGTCTTTGTAAATTACATGCTTTGGCTTTATCACAGACCAAATGCTTACTAAGCCCAGAACGGCTTCTTCTAAGTTAGTTTTGCTTCCATCTATTTTAAGTAAAAATAAAAGCAAAGTCATAGATAAAGGGGGAAACAGAAAAAATCACTGACACAACTTCCATTATAAACTAAAAAAAAAATCTGCTAAGGCAGACATTTTTTAGAAATATTTAAGAACTCTGTTCATAGAACTACACTGTAAGATCTTGTAGTCATGGGAAATTGCAGGTAATCCACAATACTTAATCACATATTTTGTTTTTTGAAACTGGTGTTAAACTATGACAATTGTAGTATATTAGCAGCAATCGGAATATTAATTGCTTGGGAGTTTGGTCTCTGAATTAAATAACAGAATAGTATAGAATACTGTTCTGCTTATAGATTTATTGTTCAATTTAACAGTTGTTGCTAGTAAATGAAATTATTTATTTATACACTAAAATATTAAGCATAAAAATATACATAAATATATAGCTAATTGAAACATTATTTTGTATTAAGACATTTAGTTTTTTGATCATGGTAGGGCTATAATTAACAGCTTAAATAAAAATAAGTTCTTCCACAAGAAATAATTTAAAGGAATTACATAGCAAATATTTTATAATAACTATAAATGGAGTATAACCTTTAAAAATTGTCAATCTGTAATTTATATAATATTATACATCAACTATACTTCAGTTTTAAACATTTAATTTTTAAAAATACAAAAAAATTTAAAAGAATTACATGCTCAATGATTTGCATCATGACAAGCTCTGAACAAGTTAGCAATGTTTCCAATTTTAATTTTATTTTATTAATATGAATAAATAACAAATAAAATTAGCAAATATTTTAAATATTTAGGTATCAAAGACAGTTCACCAGAAATACAATTCTTTAAAAATAACAATGAATACTTTTCAGTTTTGTGCACCTTTAAGAAAGCAGTGATCTTAGAATTGTACAATTATTAATTTTTAAAAATTTAAAAGCCTTTCAAGGGCTAAATTAAGTTTTTGTTTTTAAGTCTAGTTACTTGAGGAATTTTCTGGAGTTGTATTTGCTTTCTTGATGAAAAAATATATATGTTCTTAGTCCTTTGGCATTTTTTTTTTTTTTAACCTAGAGAAGACTGTCCAATACAGCTGTCTTTCAGGTCATCTTTCCTACCTTAGTGATGTCTCAATAAGCCAAGGAGCATATTTCCATCGCCTGATTTCTTACAGGTTTCATAGCTACCTGCTAGTGGAATTGGTAAAGAAGTCACATTGCTAGTAAGGTGTCCAATAACCAAAGAGGTTTTTGTGGTAGCATTGTGTTCTTACCCTTCACAATATTTATTGACATGAAAATCTGTAATCATATAATTGAGTACTATTCACTTAAAGGGGTTAACTCGTGAGGAATCATCACACAAAGAGGCTCACGTTTGCTTTTTACTGATATAAGGTGGTTCTTCCGTTGCACTTTTTTGATGGATTCCTCATGCTTGCTCTAATCTGCAAAGGTGAATAATTATCCTGGCAATAAAATCTTTGTTATTAACAGAAGAACTGGAAGCACCAACTAAGCCATGAAGGGATGGATAAAGGTGAAATAAGGTGACTATTGTTAATGCTATGGGGAGCAGGCCTGATAAACAACTGCTTGAGCTTCCTGAATGCTTGAATGGCTTCCCAAGTACAGTAATGTACTGCCTGCATCATGAAGATGATATAGTTGAGGGGTCAGCAGGGCATGAGAAGGAATTATCCAAAAAAGTATTAACGATACACATTCTGTAGTTTCATAAGGTATAGAGTATTTATCACAATATATAAACTTCAGTTTCTAAGGCGTGTCATTAGATTGTTATTAGTGCTATTGTGGTGTGGTGTGTGTATTTCGAAACAATAGTAAAAATAAATATTATGATGTGCTGTTGAGCTTGCTTCTAGTGGAAGTAAAAATCATCCTACAAATCAAGGTCAAAAGAGACTGAGGATATCATTATCAAAAGGGGAGAAAAGCTAGAAGCCCAGGTTAATCTCCTAGTTTAGAAAGACGTACAGGTGAGATAAATTATCTGACCTGTTGGTAGTTTACATCGTTATTTTATGACTGTTCTAGAATGAATTAGAAGTGGACAGTCTCCCAGTGTTTTTAGCCTATTTATTTTGCAAACGCTCCCTTTTTTGTGGCAATATGACTGCCTCTACCATCACTTAAACATCAATACTAATGATAATATATACTTGTGCAAGTTAATTTCCCACCTTAAAAATTGATTCACACTTTGTTCCTGATGACAAATGTATTCAGCAAAAAACTGCCAAACTGAGGAAACTTCCAATTTGGTCTCCAAGGTTATTTTATCTATTAATAATTGAATGAAGAATTTGTCAGTTTATTTTTTAGTGGTAGCAAGATGATATCATTTATCTACTGTACCCAAAGAATGAATCAGATTTTCTTATGTTCCAAATTTCTGGGGAGGGTGAGATAGTAATCTCACAATTATTAAGAATAATGAAATAAGGCGAGTTTTAAAAAAATTTACAGCAGCAGTCATGTCAATTGAAGTGTGTGATGTGATTCACAATCCAGATAATCAATCCAGATAATCAATGTTTTAAATCAATGTTTTAAATTTAAACCATGCTTCCTTTGTAAACCTGCTGAAAATAACTGGTGTGGAGACTTGGGTAGTTCAAGGTTCAAGGAGATTTCACAATGCCAAATTTCTTTCTCTAAGGGAATGAAACTTAACATTTATTTAGCAAAATATTTAAAATATTCACTATTTATATGAAAATTTTTACTTCTTTCCTTTATTTTTCTATTTTCCCCCATATAATATTCTCAATTTGGAGTCACCAGTGTTTTGACAAAGAAATGGATTAGGCTTTCCAAAGCACATATGGAAAAAAGGTGAAAGAGGGAAAAGAAAAAGCTAATTAAAGTGTTATTTTTGTATTCTGGTATCTGCCAACTTTTAATCTTTATAATTTAGTTGTGGGTGAATCCTTAAATTGAAAAGAAGAAAATGAAACTAGGATAAAAGCAAGAATTTTGTACATAAATATGTAAATACTAAACTCTGGAGAAAAAATTCCTGCCACTGATGGAATTACAGTTGGACAATCCATCAAAGAAAGACAGTTAATTTCTGACCCTCCAAAAATAGAGGTAAGTCCTTTTGCTACTAAAATATAGTAAAACCTTGTTATTACAATTCATATCTTCTCCATAATTTTCACTCTTTCTCAATCCTATTAAGGTGTGTCATTAGATTGTTATTAGTGGAAGTAAAAATCACCTTTTTGCCAAACTTGAGAATTTCCCACAATTTGTACCCTACTCCTGTGGGTAATTTCTATATCTTCTAGTTCTTCTTCCCTTCCTCAATTACAGAGGTGAGTTAAGTCAAGGGCTTAGGAAAACAAAAAGTCAGCCTCTGAGAAGTCCAGTGGGAAGGGGTGTGTCTTCAGCAGAAGTAAAGTGATTAAACCCAAGGAGAAGAAAATAGGAGATCCAGGAGGGCTCCAGCATTATTTCAGCTTGTTAGGCACTATTTTTTCTATTTTAATAGTAAGAGTGGCAGTGGCAGAAGCTAGTCAAACTGAAATAGTCCTGGAGCTTCTTGGAATCCATTTACTTGAGTGAAGATAAACCCCATTCTCTCATGGGCTGCTCGAACCATCCGTGCTTTCAGTTTCCTTCAAGTCCTATTTTTTAAGATAGGGAGAAAAGCTTTAGGAGCAGAATAGCTACTTTCTTTCATTTTATATTTCTCCTTACTTGCAACATTTTACTCTAATCCCCAGGAAAGAATAAAAGATGATTTGATTGTATTAAGACAATATATGCCTTCCTCTATTTATATACTTTTTAGATTGTCTTAGAGAAGGAAATATATGTGTGTGTGCATGTATGTGTGTGTGTGTATATATATATATATATATATATATATACACATGTATGGATATATACGTACACACACACATACTTCCTTTGGTTTTTGATCTGCAAAACATGAAGCAAATAAAATGTTCTTTGTAATCATATGCCAAGAAGGTGGTAAAAAAAATGTGATTTATATCTGCACATTCCAAAACATCATACTGCAAATCTTCACAAAACATTCTAAGCTATGTTTACACAACCTAAGCAAAGTGAACAGATACACACCATTTAGTGAATTTGGGTCTGTTCTAACTATGCATCAGAATTTTCTCTTGCTTTGAAGACCCACACATACAGGTTGGCTGGCCCCAGATTCTTGAACACTAATGTTCCATTTTAGCTTGGTGTTAGGTTTACCAAAATCTAGAGCAGCTTGTTTTCTAGAGAAATCTTAATACATTCTTGGGTTTGCCTGAAAGTTTTATATTAATAATGGTATAAGCAGTTGCTTCTAAATTTTTATGCAGCTTTTGAATTCTTAGGTTACTTAGGTGATAAAAAGTCCCATGGATGCTATTCTCTGAGTGTGGAAAATTAGCACTCTTCTAATAGTTAGTTCACTGAGTTATTTTCTGAATGCAAGGCTTTCTGAGTATTTAGGTAGAGAGAGTATTCATGGTCAAACACAGGACCTCCTTATGGAAGTTAGCCTGAGCATGCACAAGATGGAACAAATTCAGAAAGCTTCTGTTGTCTTCATCATGGTCTTCCATATGCCATACACAGGAATAGACAGTAGGGAAAAGAAAATGACAGTTAAGTTTCTAAATATATGATTTATTTGAAACATAAGATGTTCCAATTTCCCTAATAATATGTAACAGAAGACTAGTTAGTGATTTTCCCTAAGTCAGACGTTAACCATTGAAATCATGGAATTATATTTAGAGCTCTGAATTAGAAATCAGAAGAAAAAGATGCTGGTCCACGCTTTATTGCTTCTAACTTCATGACCTTGGGCAAGTCAGGTAATTTCTCTAAGCCTTAGTTTTCCCATCTGTAAAATAGGGTTAATTATCCTGTTGGGCACCTAATAAAACTATAAAAATTTATATGTGTAAACTGTACAAATAAAGAATATTATGATGATTATGATAGTTGGTTAAGTAAGCAAGTTAAAATTTTTTGCTGTGCAGAATTGAAATTAGTTCCTTTCAGAGCAGACTCTTCAACTTTACATTTTCCATTAAAACTAATACCAGATTTAAAAAGTGACGAAACCAGGAACTAAATATATCTCATGGAAAAACAATGTCTGATTTTTCTATTTTTAGCTTGGATATAAAAGTCTACACAGAATTATCTATATCTTAAGGGGAGACTAGAATGCACTTTACTCACAACTGAGCACCATCTACATGCATACTCACCAGACAGAACTGATTGTAGCATTTCCATTATCACATACGCAAATGCATTTGCCACACTCTGGAGGAAGTTATTTCTTTCCACTGGAGTGCTAAAGACTTTACAGACTTTTTGCATCATTTTAACTGCCCAATCCATGCAGTATAGTTCTTTCTCACATACCTGATTTAGACATACAAAGCATTATGGTAAATCTTTATTTGAAGAAAGCGGTAGAATTTGAAAATGGTATTAACAATGACCGTTTATAACTTTACAGAATTTAATACATATAACATCATGTTGAGTCTATAAATGGGAAATGCTCTTATATCTAATACTTCTTTGCTTTCAAATGGTATAAATTTAGTAGGGAAAAGTGTGAAGTAAAAAAAGCCTGGTTCAAGATTATCATAGAAAAAAAGATTATCATAGAATATTTGTTTATTAATGTAAGAAATAATATTGAAAACAATTGTTAAACATATGAAAAATAAGGCTCCTGCTCATTCATTCAATAAGTGTTTATTGAGCACATGCTAAGAGCTGGGGATACAATGGTAAGCCATAAAGACATGGCCTCTATTTTCAAGGAGTCCAATGAGGGTGACAGACAAACAATTTCAACAGGCAAGAGAGCCCTATGGTGACACCAACTTTCCATCTTGAGAGTAGTAGGGAATATTTCTCTATTATTTAAAAGATAGATAAAGTGAAAATTACATGTTTATAGGTAAAACTGACTGAAAGGAAAAAGGTTTATTTACTAATATCTTAAATGGTCAATTTAACTCACATAGCCAAATAACATAGAGCATGAAAATAAACTATATAGTACTGTAACTAAATAATGTTAACCTGACAAGAAAGATATATTGCCTACTTATTATGTGTAAAGCACTGTACAAGGCACTATGAAAGAAATAAGTGGCATAGTCCTGGATTTCAAAGAGCTTGCAATCTATTTTGGGAGATGACTTACCCCACACATACAGTGGCCTTAGAACACCACTGGTAAATGAAGATAAAGAGAAGACAAATCTGAGGCCATTTAGAGAAAATTAATGACCAGAGTTGAGATGTTAAACAGAGAAGGCTTTCCGGAGAAGGTTTCTCCACCCCTAGCGGTTTCCTCTCCATTCCTTTTACTACAGTGTGGCCAAACTCACCTTCCAAAAACGTAAAACTGACAACGTCTCCCTGCTTCCTAAAACTTGTCAGCAGTGTGGCTCCTGTGGTTCAGGCTCCACAGAATGGTCTACCAGGCCCTGCCTTACCTAGCCTCTCCCTTCCTATCTAAACTTACCATCTCCTCCTCTTCTGCACATTTTTCCCTTCAGAAATAATACTGAACTGCTTATAGTTCCCTGATATAGTCATGCAGTTCCAATTCTCTCTTTCCTTTTTTTTGTTTTGTTTTGAGGGCCTCTGCTTATTAAAATAAACATTTACATTTAGAATACAATTAATTTAGTAGCTTTCTTCACATTTTAAAAGAGCCACAGAGATTTCATTCATGTTTTAAGCAGTTGAGTTGGTGAAGATCCTGTCTCCATTTTGTAGAAAATGGATTACATTCAATTATTCCTCACAACAGCCAACTGAAGATTATTCCATTGCTTTTGAAGCACTGGTTGGGCTGGCATCTGTGATGGAAGCCAAATAAATGAGATATCTATGCAACACATGCAGGTACATGCTTGAATAATCGAACCCCTCTGTCTGGTGAACACTTCCTATTCATTTAAAAAACTTATATCTACTGGAATTGGGGAAGCCCTCTCTGTACTCTATGCCCACCCAATATTGACTCCTCTCTGATACCTTTGTATCTTTTTTTACATATTTTTGCACTTATCACACTGAATTTATTTATATATACTTTGATATTGCTTAGAAGACTGTAAGCAGCTTTTGGTCAGGGATTTGTTCTATTAATTTCCACAGTCCTAAAATCTCTCACAGGTATGGCCCATAGTAAACACTCAGTTTGTGTTAAATACATTTTTAAATGTTTTTATTTTGAAAAACATTTTAACTATATAAAAGTAAAGAGAGTAGTATTATGAACCCCTAGTATCCATTCCCTAGCTTCAACAATTACTAATCTTGTTTCACTTCTACCACCACTCACTTACACCTTCTCTCCCTGCTGCCCAGGGATTATCCTGGAGCAAATCATAAGGGCTGCTTTATTTTTAAATGGAATTTAAGGGAAAAAAAAGAATATAACTTGGCAGAGCTGTATAATGACAATCCAGATATGAAGTGGGGAGAGGTTAACACAAGGAATGATTCCAGATATGATAGTTTATTATATAAATTAAAAATTTTTTTAAATATATAAAGTATATATAAAAATATATACTTAAATACTTATTCTTTCAAAATGTTTCGTACATATTTCAGTTCCTTCAGGGCAGCTCCCTAGTAGGTCAACTATAATGTTAAACAATTTGCTAGAAAAAACTTACTTTATACTTACCAAAGCCAAAAAGACTATCAGCCTTGCCAGTTCAATGGCCCGTCCATTCATAGCTTTACTAGCCATGAAAGTGAAACAGACGCTGTTCCCACTTAGGATTAGGAGATGTGCATTATTCTCTAGAAGCCACTCACGGGGAACCACTTTTATTAAAGAAAGAACCGTTATTTAATGAGAAATTACACAATAGCTATAGTAAACATCATTAAATACATGCAATATTATATTACTTTATTGGATATACAATCAGTGCCGAGGGAGAATCTCAGAAAAAATGCTTTAGTTTTCCGATTACAGCATTCAACCGGGGACAGAGATTATTTATTGCCAAGTCACAGCGACTCTCACAAATATACTAGTAATACAGTCAACGCATTTCTCCTACACATAGGTCAACAGACAAGGTGGTGTAATCCTGCTAAAGAAAGAAATCTTGTAAACTTTAGAATCTAAAGGATTATGCAGGAATGGGAAACATTGTTTCATCTCGCCAGTACCAACAGGAAAGGGCCTTCTTCTTACCCAACATTCGGACGTGTTTCTGAGAACTTCAAAATGGGAATAATTAAGCTAATTAAATTATGAAGCTTTCAAATAATAGCAATAAATACATATTTATAAAATTGGCAAGGAAAATGGAAGGAAAGTAAGTTGATTATATGCATTCTCTTCTAACATAAAGACAAACTTTAAATATTTTAAAGCATTTAGTGATTTCTAATAGGCAGTTCTTTTGTTACCTATAGAGTTGTCCTTACAATTTTATAACTGTATTCTAATAACAAATTTCTATTACTGTATGTGGTAAATAATTCCTTTTACCTGATAGTTCATCTACAAGACTGATAACATCATCTGCTGTCCATTCTTTGGTGCCTGTATCATACAGTAATTTAATGGCATCAGCCAAACCTTTCAGACTGGGTTCATCTGCAGGTCCTTCTATCATTTTCTGCCAAACCACCTGTCCTGAATGATAATTGAAACAAAAGCTAGGCTATGACAGAATAGTTGGCTTTGTGATAAAGACTACACAGATTGTTTAAAAAGGAAATTGGATTGCATAACGGAATCCATTACTTATATATGCTACTTTCATTTTAACTTTCATAATGAAAGATCAATTCTGATAACAGTATAAATTTAATGTCTCTGACTGATGTGATGAAGCACAGCAACAATAGCTAAATGAGGAAAAGAAAAGGTAGTTTCACCAAGCAAAACACTGTTTCTGGTTCAAAGATAATGCTACCCCATAACAGAAATTAAAATAAACAATTGATGTAATCTTACTAAAATGAAATAAAACCTAGTGATAGACTTCCAAAAAGAGAGCATGCTGTATCTGAGAATTTTCCAGACATTTATATCAAAACAGAGTAATCCAGTCAATTTTTTATTATTTACCTCTGACCAATTTCTCTTTGTGAATTACACACACAAACAAAATTCGATCCCAGATTGGCTTCCTGCTGCCACTCAACACACTTTAAACTAGTTAACTCCTGATACAAGGCAGTGTGAACTAAATACATGCTAATTTTAACATTCATCCAAGCAAAACTTAATTAGAAAGGCCAAAAAATTGCAAAAAATAATATGATGCACCCCAAATTAAGTAAAACATCAATTCTGACTACCACATTGCTTCCCTTGCATTATTAGTCCCCTACAGCAGCAAATATAATCTTGAGTTAAGATAATGTTTAAAGGGTTTCACTGGTGGCACAGTGGTTGGGAATCCACCTGCCAATGCAGGAGACACGGGTTTGAGCCCTGGCCCAGGAAGATCCCACATGCCTCAAAGCAACTAAACCCATGCACCACAACTACTGAGCCTGAGCTCTAGAGCCTGCGAGCCACAACTACTGAGCCTACGTGCCACAACTACTGAAGCCTGTGCGCCTAGAGCCCGTGCTCCGCAACAAGAGAAGCCACCGCGATGAGAAGCCTGCACACCGCAAGGAAGAGTAGCCCCTGCTCACTGCAACTAAAGAAAGCCCGTGTGCAGCAACGAAGACCCAACACAGACAAAATAAATAAATAAATATATTTAAAAAAATAATAATAATGTTTGTTTGTTTGTTTGCGGTACGCGGGCCTCTCACTGTTGTGGCCTCTCCCGTTGTGGAGCACAGGCTCCGGACGCGCAGGCTCAGCGGCCATGGCTCACGGGCCTAGCCGCTCCGTGGCATGTGAGATCTTCCCGGACCGGGGCACGAACCCGTGTCCCCTGCATCGGCAGGCGGACTCTCAACCACTGCGCCACCAGGGAAGCCCGAAATGCAGTTATTTTGGGTAAATCAGAGATGATGAGAATATATTTGGAAATGGCCTGCAGCAGAACAATTTCTGTCTTGATGCTTAAGTTATATACAAGTCAATGTAGTATATACATTTATGAAACATGGTTTACTTATTAGGAATGATGAAACTAAGCAGGTACAGAAAGATATGTTTCCTAAAGTGAAAGTAATTAACCAATTTTGTAACATACATCCCAAAGAAATGGATGCTCACCATCTTGAGGAGCTACTGGTCCGAAGATGATATACAGTAATCTTGCCTGATTCACCATTGGCCATGGTTTTAATATGCACGTCAACCAAAATGCAGAATCACTTCGACGGGTCCAAGGATCAAGAAAAACGTTCCTACAGAACAGTCTGATCCATAACTCCAGTTTTGTGGCAATTCCTATGAAGACAAAAGCACTGTAAACAATTCTTCCTAGAAAGATTGATATGCATATTGGATAGGTCAAGACATACATCATTAAATGCTTTGTACTGAGAGTGTTACTTCATTTTACTCTGTAAAAATTTGAGATTATCAAGGAACTACTTTTTTTAAAACAACTTTATTGGGATACAATTCACACCCCATAAAATTTACCAATTTAAAGTGTACAATTCAACTTTCTTTTTAGTATATTCACAGATATATGCGCCCATTAGCAAGTAAATTTTAGAACATCTTGATTACCTCAAAAAGAAACCCTGCTCTTTTAGCTATCACTCTCCTATCCTTCTGCCCTTTACCACACCCAGCACTAAGCACTACTTGCCATCTCTATAGATTTTCCTATTCTTCATATGAATGAAGTCACGTAGTAGGTGGTTTTTTGTGACTGACTTCTTTCCTTAGCATGTTTTTTTTTTTTTAATACGTATTTTCTATTTATTTATTTGGCTGTGTTGGGTCTTAGTTGTGGCATGCGGGATCTTTTCATTGCAGTGCATGAGCTTCTCTAGTTGTGGCGCGTGTGTTCCAGAGCGCGTGGGTTCAGTAGTTGTGGGCTTAGTTGCCCCGTGGCATGTGGGATCTTAGTTCCCCGACCAGGGATGGAACCCATGTTGCCTGCATTGGAAGGCGGATTCTCAACCACTGGACCACCAGGGAAGTCCCCTTAGTATGTTTTCAAGGTATATCCATGTTATGGTAAGTATCAATACTTCATTCCTTTTTATGGCCAAATAATATTCCATTGTATAGATATACCACATTTTTTATCGATTCACTCATCGATGGATATTTGGGTTGTCTCACCTTTTGGCTATTATGAACAATGTTGCTATTAACATTCATGTACAAGTTTCTGTATGGACATATGTTTTCGTTTCTCTTGAGGATATACCTAGGAATGGGATTGTTGGGTCATATGGTAACTCTATATTTAATTATTGAATAACTACCAGATTGTTTCCAAAGTGACTGCACCATTTTGCATTCCCACCAGCAATGTACGAGGGCTCCAAATTCCCCACATTCTCACCAACGCTTGTTATCTGACTTTTTGGTTCTAGCCATCCTAGTGGGTATGAAGTGGTATCTCACGGTTTTTTTTAAACAGCTTTATTGAAATATATATAATTTACATACTGTATGTATGTAAATTACCCTTTAATGTATATAAAGGGTATACATGTATATAATTCAACAGTTTTTGATATATTACATTATTTTCCTAAATTGTGGTAAATACATATGATATAAAATTTGCTATTTTAACCATTTTTAAACTATACAATGCAGTGGCATCAATTACAGTCACAGCGTTGTTCAACCATCACCACTGTCTTACACTAAAATTTTTCATCTCAGACAGAAACTCTGTAACCATTAAGCAATAACTCTGCATTCCCCATCTTCCCACATCCTGGTAACCTCTAATCTACTTTCTGTTTTTATGAATTTGCCTGTTCTAGGTACCTCACATAAGTGGAATCATACAATATTTGTCTTTTTTGTCTGACTTATTTCACTTAGCATATATGTTCTTTTTTTAATTAATTAATTAATTTTATTTTACTTTTGGCTGCGTTGGGTCTTCATTGCTGCGCATGGGCTTTCTCTAGTTGCAGTGAGTGGGGGCTACTCTTCATTGCGGTGCGCAGGCTCCTCATTGTGGTGGCTTCTCTGGCTGTGGCGCACGGGCTCTAAGCGCACGGACTTCAGTAGCTGTGGTACTTGGGCTCAGCAGTTGTGGCTCGCAGGCTCTAGAGCGCAGGCTCAGTAGTTGTGGGACACAGGCTTAGCTGTTCCATGGCATGTGGGATCTCCCCGGACCAGGGCTCAAACCTGTGTCCCCTGTACTGGCAGGCATACTTTTAACCACTGTGCCACCAGGTAAGCCCCTTAGCATAGATTTTTAGTGTTCATCCATGTTGTGGCCTGTATCAAAACTTCACCCCTTTTTATGAGTGAATAATATTCCATTGTATGTATATGCCACATTTTGTCTATTCATTCGTCTATTATGAACACTTGGGTTGTTTCCAGTTTTTGGCTACTGAAAATAATGCTTCAGTGAACCCTGGTGTACAAGTATTTGTCCTTGTTCCTGCTCTCAATTTCCTTAGTTATGTACCTAGGAGTGCAATTGCTGAGTCATATGATAACTCCACCTTTAGCTTTTTGAGGAATGTCCAAACTGTTTTCCCTGGTGGTGGTACCATTTTACATTTTATATTTTTATACCATTTATGTTCTACTTACTTGTAGATAAGACAAGTGTAAATGGAAAGTCTGCCAATGCACTAAGGCCATATGTAAGTGTCTCCTGATGTAAGTCAAGTAACACAGAAGTTTAGAGGAGAGAGATTATTGCAGGTCTGGGAACATCAGGAAAGGCTTTACAGAGGAGGTCAGGTAAATTGGGTCTTAAAGGGTAAAAAGGAGAGATGGTATTTCAGGAAAAAGAGAGAATGAATAAAAGGTATGAGGTAGAAATGTGTAAGACATGTCTGAGATACAGTGAGTAGAGCAATATGCCTATGTCAAACTGATACAGAGGTAGTAGGCAATAATTTTGAAAAAGTAAGTTAGGATTAGAATATGAAGGCCAATATAAACAGTTTGAGCTTTATTTTGAAGATATAAGGAAGCTAATAAAACTTTTTGATCAAGAGAGAGACATGATAAATTAATTTTGTTATTGTTTCATTGGGCTTCTATGTCTGCCTTTAAAATAAAAATCTGCCATGATTTGTTTCATGATGAAATATTTCAAGCTGACAGAAAAGCAGAGATACTATAACAAACACTGTGTACTGATCAGTTAGCTTTGTCAAATCTTTAGTTTTTTGCTATATTTGCTTCAGATTTTTAAAAATAAATAAAACATTCTGATATAGTTAAAACTTCTTGTGTATCAGTCCCAATCAACTTCCTCCCCAGAGGTAATCACCATCTTGAATGGGGTTTTATCCCTCCTGTATTAGTCAGCTTTCTCTAGAGAAACAAAACTAACAGGATGTGTGTATATACATAGAGAAGGATTTATTTTGAGGAATTTGCTCATGAGGATTCTGGAAGCTTGGCAAGTCCATAATCTGCAGGGTAGGGTGGGAGGCTGCAGACAAGAGAAGAGTTCTAGTTCAAGTCCAAAGGCAGTCTGCTGGTAGAATTCTTTCTTGTTTGGGGAGGGGAGTCTTTTTCTGTTAAGGCCTTCAAGTGATTGGATGAGGCCCACTCACATTATGGAGGGTAATCTACTTTACTCAAAATCTACTGAGTTAAATGTTAATCTCATCTAAAAAATAACTTCAAAGAAACATCTAGAATAATGTTTGACCAAATATCTGGGTACTGTGGCCTACCCAAGTTGACACCCAAAATTAACTATCATACCTCCCAACTATGTTTTTATACTTTTTTACATATGTATATAACCATAAAGAATATATAGAATTGTTTTGCATGTTTTTAATATGTATATAAATGGTATCATATTAAAAGCATTGTTTGGTAACCTTTTTTTCTCAAATTATATTTTGAGATTTATCCATAGTAAGACACATGGCTCTAGTTAATTCATTTTAACTACTAACGGTTTTTTTTAAATAAATTTATTTTTTTATTTTTATTTTTGGCTGCATTGGGTCTTCGTTGCTGTGCATGGGCTTCTCTCTAGTTGCAGCGAGCGGGGGCTACCCTTTGTTGTGGTGCGCAGGCTTCTCATTGTGGTGGCTTCTCTTGTTGCGGAGCACAGGCTCTAGGCATGTGGGCTTCAGCAGTTGTGGCACGTGGGCTCAGTAGTTGTGGCTTGCAGGCTCTAGAGTGCAGGCTCAATAGGTGTGGCACACGAGCTTAGTTACTCCGTGGCGTGTGGGATCTTCCGGGACCAGGGCTCGAACCCATGTCCCCTGCATTGGCAGGCAGATTCTCAACCACTGCACCACCAGGGAAGCCCACTACTAATGGTTTTAATTGTATAAATATGCCATAATTCATTTATCCATTCTCCTGACAACAGGCATTACTTTGTTTGCAGCTTTCCCTGGTTACATGCTGCAATGCTCATTCTTATACGTCTCCTTGTGCATACTGTGGGAGTTTCTCAGAGTGAAATTGCTAAATTGTAGGGTTCTTTTAATTTTTTTTTTTGGCTGCACCGTGCGGCATGCAGGATCTTAGTTCCCCGACCAGGGATCACACACAGTGGAAGCATGGAGTCCTAACCACTGGACTGCCAGGAAAGTCCCTCTTATAATTTTTAAAATATGAACTATTTCAGGTATATATAGTAGTTTAAAAAATACTATAATGAACACCTTTGTATCTTCCACCAGCTTAAGGAATAAAATATTATTAATGTGGTTGAAGCCCTCTGAGAGCTTCTCTTTCTCTAATCACAGGCCACTTCTGCCTCACTATCTGATTCAGTGTTTATCATTCCCTTACATCTCTTTATCTTTTTACTACAAGCGAATGCCACAATTTATTTTGAAATACACTTTAGAACTATACTTTTTTTTTTCTATTTTAATCTCTGTATAAGGTTATCTCTGAATTTTAGTTCTTTACCTGGTTTGCTGCAGACAACTGTCTGCATGTTGCGGGAGAGATTAGTCAGCTCACATAAGAAGTTATAAACACGATGGCACTCAAGTTCATCCCATCCTGCTGTTAAGGTCTGAGGATGATAAAGGAAACATTTCAGATGTTCAAACCATCAAATCAAAACATAAGTCACTATTGCCTTATGACCATAACTGCTGTAGTATAAAATCGAGGCAATGTGCAATTTTTATCCACTATGGAACTGTTCAAATTCATAGGAAATTTTATATAAACAAAACCTAGAAATGCTCCAAAATCCAGTTTCTTTTTGGTTGCATAGGGAGTATCTTTTCAGGGAACTAAATGGTACTGAATCCTAAACTCTGACAGTATAGATACAACTTTAGACATCTGACTCACAACCATACTGTGGCTTAGACTACAGTAGAACCCTTTTGGTCCCCTCTAGCTATCAGTTATGATATTGCTTACAAATGATAATGACCTCATTTTAATGTGACAATCATGAGCATTTATTTACGACATTTGGGTGTGAACAAAAAACAATTTTTATTAGGACCAAATATAGTAATTATCTTTGAGGAGACCAGAATGTACAGTTAAACATATATGAAAAATTCAAATGGTATTCAATTATATGTAGATTTTGAAAAAGTTGATTAATCATATCAATTTTTCTTAAAATAGTTGAACTATATTTCAGTAGTTTAAAAATGAATCTTATTCTCTTTGGAAGGACATAATAGAAACTGCTCACAGTGGTTACTTCTGTTGAAGGGAACTCTGTGAACAAGGAACAGGCCTGGGAGGAGACTTAATATTCACTTTATACCATTTTGTACCTTTTGAATTTTATATGAATACATGGGCTCATATTACCTGTTCCAAAGGGAAAAAGAAAAAGCAGAAATCTATCTATCTTGGAAGAGGGCTAGAAGGAGGGCCTATGCCCCTGGAATCTGTACATGCAGATGGTGGCTGGCTGGCAGGATGGGTTATAAGCAAGACTGTTGTAAGATTGTTGTAAACCTCATAAGGTTGCTGTAATATTTAAGTAAGTTAATACATGTAAACTGCTTAGAACAGTGCAATATATTAATAATATATTGAACAGCATTAATAATAATGTTATTATTATAATGTTTATAATAAAATAGTAAAAAATGTTCTTAAAATCATGCAGTTGATTTCTTCCCCCCTCCCAGGTTTATTGAGATATAACTGATGTATAACATTGTATAAGTTAAAGACATATAACATAGTAATTATATATATATAGCAAAATAATTACCACAAAAAGGTTAGTTATCCCTATCATTTCCTATAGTTACTACTTTTTTTATACAGTTCATTTCTAAGATCACATCTTAAATAACTAGCACAAGACTTAAAACTCATTGCACACACACACCCTCTACCCCACAATATTTCTAGTCATTACAGTTGGCTGGAAACTTCAAGGACATGGGTATAGAGCAAATAAGGGTTAAACATTTCTTACCAGTGAGAAATCCAAGAAGAAAATCTGAGGTGGCAAACATATTATTGGATTAACACATTCTCAAACATTTACAATGTTATTTTGTTTTCTTTTTAGATCATTATTACTTTTATTATCCTATAGAAAGACAGATTACATGCTCTACTTGATAACAGTTCAAAAAGAATTCCTTTTCTTCTTTCACTAAAAAAAAAATGTACCTGTAAAAACATGCCGTAACATGGTAATCCTAAACATTGCAATGGAGTTACACAGCCGTTAAATTTAAAACAGGAAACCTGTAAAGAGAACAACTGTTAATTCCTCCTTTTCACTGCAACTGTGCAATGATTTGACATTCAAATTTAATGGAAATATGCAAGGATTGTTTTCAGTCTAAACTGAAAATAACTAAAACACTAAATAACTGATTAGTCACATGTTATATAGGTGGGGATTATGAAATATAAAACAAAGTCTTTGCCTCAAGGAGCTCACACTTTATTTAGAACAATAAGATATACATACATGAAATTAATTTTATATTTCAGGATAAAGTATGTATAAATGCTAAAATGACCAAATAAACATATCAGATACAATGAAAGCAGGGAAAGGATAATTTTGAGAATGATTAAAAAAGCTTATGAAGGATGTGAAACAAGCAATGTCTTTAAGTAGGATTCAAAGATAATCAATAGATAGTATTGGTGAGGGAAACAATAGGGCAAAATGGTATAGAGGTAAAAATTTTAAATATTCATTTGGACAGAAAGATATGAGCAGCTTAATTAGGCTCAAAGTAGTAGAAAGTAAGGCTGCACTGTCAGGGGGAACCCCCTAAATACCACCTGTGGACTTTGGACCTTATCTTGATGAAATTGAGTAGCCACGGAAATATTTTTAAAAGCAAGAAAATTAATTTGATGTAAGTGATTCAGCATTTAGAATGTCTTGGGAAGTGAAGAAGTGAATGGCAGAAAGATCATCTTGGAAGCTGCTGCAATAACATACAGCTGAACTCAATGCAAACACTGACATGAAAAAAGCCAGTGGATCAGAAACAGTTTGCATACTATTGAGTGTAAAACTGAATCAGCAGTATTAGATATATATTGGGTTTATATAGTAAAACTCAATGTCTTAACAGAGATTATGCCCAAACATATTGATACACATTTCCAAGTCATAAATTATCATAAAAGGTTTGTCATTTTATGTATTAAAAATAGTTTTAACACAAATATTTAAATAGTAAAATGTTAACATTTGGAAATAATTTTCATTTTAATAAAATATCTAAATCACCACTTTAAAACAACCTCAGAATTCCCACATGAGGTAAAAATACTTTTATTACTCCGATAAACCTAATAAACTTGAATGATGTACTTAGTTATATGTAAAAATTATTTTATAATAAGTAAAATACTCCTATACTACATTTTGGTGTTTTATAATCTCTGAGCACTTGGTAAAGTATTAGATTATCATCAGCCAACTTTTTAGTACCAATTTATGAAATTCCACTAATTAAAGATAGATTTAAAATGAGTATAAGACATTAATAATAAAATATATTTACTGGCAATCAAGACTGTGAGCTAATTCAGAAGTATGATCTTACTTCTGCGAGTATCTTGTGAATGTACTTCAGTCTTTCCTTTGTGGGTAGCAGCAATGTACATCTTTTAAACAGTAGACCTGAGAAAGTAAAGAGACATATGAAAAAATGACAACAATGTAATTAACTTAAGAATATCTATAACTCACAGCATAATGTTTCCTTAAAGTCAAGTATACGATAGTGGATTGTGAGCTGATAGAGTTTTTAAGAGGAAGTTTGGGAGGAAGGGTGCAAAACACATATATGGTGTTTACCAAGTGACTCTGGTGTCCACCTAAGAGGCTATGGCATAAAAGCTTACAAAAAATTGTGAAATTGATGGTATAGTACAGATATGAGAAAGTGTTCAGATTTTAAAAGATACAATAACCAAACACAAAACAAAACAGGGAAACTCTGCTGTCTTTATTCCATAGAAAACATATTCCAATACCTCTTAAAATTAAGCTCATGTCCACCATGAAAAATGTTTTAAGAGTTGCTAATGGAAAGAATGAGAAAAGAGATTTTGTACTCCTTTCTCCAAATACAAAAACTTGAAGTCGTAAGTATTTAAAATTTCAGAGATTAGAAGTCGGTTTTTCTCTCACAGAAAGTATCCAGTTTGGATGAAATATTTATCTCTTCCTTCAGAGATATCCTTTTATGGGGCTTGCATGTTAAGAATGTATAGAATTTTGTGTTTAGATATTTAAAAAAGAAAAAAAAACCTTCAATTTCCCAGTGAGATATGTAACTTGAACTACAGTGACAGGAAGTGTATGGTTATGATTTATTTCCTCTAAGTGTTCTGTTTTCCTAAAATGGCAATACATTGTTAACATTCCTATAAGGCCAAATGTCCTCAAACTAAAAATAAGATACATGGTAGGAAAATATATATCTGAATATCATGACTTTCTTCAGTTTTCATCTTCTCTGCATTTACTTTTTTACATAATATAATAACTACTTTATATATAATTCTGTAGCCTCTATGGGAATTGAATCTATTTTTAGAAGTTGCTATGTTTGGGCAACACATGACCAGAATTGAGTTTTAAACATAAGCCCTCCTTATTATTGTACATAAAAAGACATTTTCAGTGTTTAGTTTTCAGGCTGAGTTCTCTTCCTTTCATGTTTTGGCATCCAGTCCCATGGCATATCATAGCTGGGGAATTGTAAGCTATAATTGTATGTTGGTTGCTTTTTCTAATGTAGAACGCCTATTTTTAAGGGTTTCAATTTACCATAAAAACCAATTCTGGCTGGGCTTCCCTGGTGGCACAGTGGTTGAGAGTCCGCCTGCCGATGCAGGGAATGCAGGTTCGTGCCCCGGTCCGAAAAGATCTCACATGCCGCGGAGCAGTTAGGCCCGTGAGCCATGGCCAATGAGCCTGCGTGTCCCGAGCCTGTGCTCCGAAACGGGAGAGGCCACAAAAGTGAGAGGCCCGTGTACCGCAAAAAAAAAAACCCAAAAAACAATACTGGCTGACTTACTTATTCTTTTAACACAGGTGCTCTGCTATACCCTTTAGAGACTAACTTCTTTAATTTCTTCCCACTAAAATAGAGTCAGATGTAATGTTCTTTCCACACTGGCCATCTGCTCTGTTTTGTATGAAGAAGCAAATTAAAATTTATAATCCTTAGAATGGAGAATTCTGAAAATGTTATTTTAATGTCGGAAAACAAGAACAGATCAGATAGGAATGGCAACATGAGGAAATGGTAAGTACATCAAACATTTGTCTAAAGAATTAGTCATAAGCTAGGTGTCTGCACAAAATTTAAATGGAAGGTTGAAATCATTACATGAGTAAAACCATTTTTAAAAGCTAGCTTTTGAGATCAATACATATTTGTATTTTTAACTGAATTATCCACATAATTGTCTTAATGCTATTTTGTTTGTTTATGCAATTGAATCTGGTCAGGGAGAAAAAATTCTTTCAAATTAAAACTAAAGAATAAGTTTTTCCCAAGTAGCCTTCCTCAGCATCCGATGATATTGGAAAAAAAGATATTCACAATAACAAGTAGCAAAAAGTAATTGCCGTATTCTGTTACAGGCTTCACAAAGCCTAATCATAAATACTGAAACCAATAACATTGTAACCAGATTACAGACCTTTCATTTAGCCTTACTAAGTATACCTGTCAAATACACTTTGGTGTATTTACATATCTGTATAGTCTTATTTTATTATCTTAAAGCTAGGCATCCTTGGGCTACTAAAAGGTAACTTACTCTTATGCCTTTATTTACATCTCAACATCACTCTGATATTTAATTTTATTGCCATGTTTTGGTTAATTATAAGTAGCTTCATAATTAAACTGGTGTCATTAGTCAAGTCAAAATTAGAATTTTTTTTCAGCACTCTTAGGGAGAATGAAATCAATGAATGGGGTAAAAGACATAAATGATTACAAATCAAGGGAAGAAATTGTCCAGAATTTCTTTTGATAAGGTTAATTTAATAATAGCATTATGATTTATTAGTAAATATGCACAGTGCTTTAAAAAAAAGAAAACCACTGTTTCTGATAAGAGAATAAGTGATTTTTCACAATAATATGCTTAAATTTCTATTTTAAGAACTAGATTATGGTTGAAAGGGAAAAGCAGTACAGAGATAAAACTCATTAGATTCACAGGAAGTAAAGCATAGAAAATACATCAATTTCCTAAACTGGCAAGCCACCTAGACAATAAGCACAGGTGACATTGTATCCACATGAAATCACAAGGACTGACACTTTAAAGTGCATTCTCTCATCTTTAAATATAAGTGTAAGGCACTGTTATTAAGGGAAAGTCCTTACACTGAAGAGTAAAAGCATCATAGAAATAGGAAGTATTCCATTTAGCACAGGCCTTACAGAATTGTATAATAAAATCCCCTTAATTAAGTATAGTTCTTTACTTGTTACAATTCTCATTACATTACATAAATTACCTAGAGATCTGTAGTGTTCCAATATAGTGGAGTTTTGTCTCCTGTCAGGCAGCTCAAGGTTATGAAAGTCCTGTAGTAAAAGTCTTTTGCTTCCTGATGAGGTTGAGATATAACTAATAATGTGCTGGCTGACTGTTTTGGACACCATGCTTAGCACGCTGATATCCTTCACTATCAAAAGAAACATATATATATATATATATATGTATATATATATACACACACACACACACACACACACACATATATGAACGGCTTAAATACAAGAACATCACTATTAGCACAATCTATTAATTTATAATAGATTAATAACAATAATATTAATACTAAATAATAAATAAATAATAAAAGTGGGGGAAAAGGAAAATCTTAAAATTGTTTTAACTCTAGTTCTCAATGAATTAGAAACATTGGGGATGTAACAGTCAAATTACCATGTCATTATAATTAGAAGCATGTTTTAAAGCATTTGAGTATCATATTTTCTTTAAGTAGCACTTACCTAACACTGATGAAATTTTAAAAATAAACAATGTGAACACCATTAACATTCTAGCAGGGCCTAAGATGACAAACTAGTTCTTGGGGAAAATAAAACATTCAATTGTCCATGTAGCCTACTCATAGTCCCCAAACCTCACCTGACAAACATCTTAAGATTATTTGGAATATTTCCAATGGCAAGGCTTTAAAATTTCCAAGCGTTGATAAGGGCTGAGAATCTGGGTCAAGAATGTTGGAAAAACGGTTGGATCGATGATTACGACGTCTGTATTTCTGGTTGGGAATCAAAGTGAAACTGGTATTTACTCTAGATGCCATTTTTTTTCTTATCTCATGAATTTATCCTGATTAGAAAAACAAAGTAAAAGAGACAACGAAGAAAGGAAATCAAAACGGTGAAGAGCTGTTGTTTTTTAAAATGGAGAGGTTCATACATTGAAGGGCAACAGCTGTCTCTTTGTATTTACAAAACTTTTAATGTGATGTCCAATTTATGGAGTTCCAACCAGTAGAGTCTATTTATTCATCTCAGCATGATATGAAATACTTAAAAATCTTTTCCCTCTTAGCCAAATATTTTAGATAGAGCTTTAGCAGAAAATGAGATGTGTATTTGGATGAGATATATTCTAAGAAAAGAAATGTGACATTTTTATGTGACATTTTTAAAGGGGCTTCCCTGGTGGCACAGTGGTTAAGAATCCGCCTTCCAATGCAGGGGACATGGATTTGAGCCCTGGTCTGGGAGGACCCCCTATGCCGCAGAGCAACTAAGCCCGTGTGCCACAACTACTGAGCCTGCGTGCTACAACTACTGAAGCCCACGCGCCTAGAGCCCTTGCTCTGCAACAAGAGAAGCCACCGCAATGAGAAGCCCGAGCACCGCAACAAAGAGTAGCCCCAGCTCGCCGCAACTAGAGAAAGCCCGCGCGCAGCAACGAGGATCCAATGCAGCCAAAAATAAATAATTAAATTAAATTAAATTAAATTAAAAAATAGAAATGTGATATTTTTAAAAAGTAAAAGATTTAACACAAAAAAATAACAAATTTAATATTCAATATTTGTCAATTAGTATGTTGCTTTTACAATCTTTACATTCTTAAAAAAATCTAAGTATTACTGTAATATTAAAAATTTGTAGTAATGTTTCTCTATTTTTTTAAAACTGAGTACTGACATGTTTTGTTAAAACAATAAAGACAAAAGAGATTAAAAAATAGAGATTTTAGTTTACAGCTTTTAAAATTTACTAGCTCTAACAGATTAAGATGATTGCATTATGATTACCAATTATGTGCAATGAAATCAAAGTTTTGTAAAACTAATAAGACTAGAATAAATTAATAATTGCTCCTTCAATTCCACTTTTGGTTAATAGTAGATACTAAATAAGTCTTAGGAAGGGCCTACATGACTTATTTCAAAATGAATATTTCCTAGAAGGAACTTTGTTAAAAATTACTGATAATTTACTTACACGAAACAATAATTCTTTTAAAAAATGTTATTCATCACACACAGTGACTTTGTGTCACTCCTCCTACAATTCGGAAAACACTGTCCTTTGTATATATACATGTATAGGTACATATGCATAAGTACAACTCCAATCTAAGGCTCCTTGTTTCTGAAGGAACCACTAAGACAGCTCATCAAATAGTTACAATATATCTGACGAAAATGCATTTTCTCCTTTTGTCAGAAAATTTCTAAAAATCACATTGTTACTTATTCATCTAAAAGGTTACCTGTCAACTTATATCAATTTAAAATCAGCTATATATTTGAAAATGTGGCCAAGAAACAGTGCTTAGTGAAAAGCATACTGTGAACCTCCTTTAAAACCATACTATACATAGCGCTCTGCTTCAGCATTCAATGAGCATTGAATTTAGCAGATATTTTAAAATAATCATTAAAGTTACACAAGTAACATGTGCATTGTCAAAATTTTACAAAATACAGCAAAACAAAAAGAAGAAAATTAAATTCATTTGGTTTTTAACATTTAAAATTAAGCACTTTGGTTTATCATTCAGAATTTTACATATACATTTCATTTTTACAAAAAAAGAGGGAATCTCTGTTCACACTATTTTGTAATCTGCTTTTTCAGTTTTAACTGTAATTAGAATTGTAATTTCTTTCCATGCCAATAGATACACTTCTGCAAGTACATGTACTGATATTTTAAGAACTGCATGGGATTCCATCAAATGGAAGAATTTTAATTTATTTAATCCATAAGATTGTTTTTAAGTTTTCACAGTAGGCATTTTAAATCATTTTCATTATAGGAAAATATACATCTGGCCTAGGATTTGTTCTGTTTCTCTGAGGACCAGGTAACCTGGGACTTGGGTGGGGGCCTGTGGGCTCTTCAGAGACTCACTGACATCCAATACCCAGGGGACTTTAGTGTGTCAACTACACACTATATACATTTTTAAACCTCTGAGAGGATTAAAACACAATAACCCAAATTCTTCTAAAACTGAACTCTCCTCTTACAATTCTTTATTTTCCTCAGATCTGAACGTTTTGGGGGAGATAGCAGGCTTTTCTGAAAACCCTAAAGGTGTAATTCCAAATTATTTCTGGTTTCCTCTCAGCCCTCTAGAGAATGAGAATCACGAGCCCAAATAATCCTACTAAGATGATGGTTCGGGCTTCCCTGGTGGCGCAGTGGTTGAGAATCTGCCTGCCATTGCAGTTGACACGGGTTCGAGCCTTGGTCTGGGGGTATCCCACATGCCGCGGAGCAACTGGGCCCCGAGGGCCATGGCCGCTGAGCCCGCGCGTCTGGAGCCTGTGCTCCGCAACAAGAGAGGCCGCGATAGAGAGGCCCCCGCTCACCACAACTAGAGAAAGCCCTCGCACAGAAACGAAGACCCAACACAGCCATAAGTAAGTAAATTTAAATCATATGGGATTCTAAGAAGACCTCTGCTTTAAAAAAAAAAAAAAAAAATGATGTTTCTACTCCACGCCACTCACTCTTGTCCACGTATGAAAGGCTTTGAGGGCTCTCTTGGATGAACTTTTCCCCCCCTTTTCAGAGAAAACCGTCCAACAGCAATTCACTAGGATTTCTACTTTGTTTTAACCTAAGAAAATCCTTTGAAGAGACCCACCCCCATCTGCTCGGGAAGTAGCCCAAAACATCTCCAAAGAGGTAAACTAGGGAGGCCATAAAAGAGAAACTGGTCAATATAAGAGTCAAACCACACTGTGGTGCATTTTTGACCCTCTTCAGCCCATGTAAAGATGAAACTATCTCCAGAAAGCATTGGGGGAAAAAATCTCTTTTTACCACAGATTTTGACAGTTTTCCGGCTAAAGGGTCACAGGAAAATGGGACTTAATCGTTTTGCCCTACCATCCTCAAATTTCTTAATGTTTAAAAAAAATATTTCCTCAAGGTTTTGCCGCCGTGAAGAGGGAAGTTCCGGCTCGTGTCAGCTCCAGCCTCTCAGGCGCCCCCTTGGCCTCGAGAATATTTTAGAATCCTCCCAGGAGCCCCTTCGGGAAGGAGGCCCCGCCCCCTCATGAATAGCAAGAACCTCGGCTCCCATAGTACCCTCCTTCCTCAGGGATATTTTAGAACCCTCCCAGGAGCCACAGCGGCAGGGAGGCCCCGCCTCTCATGAATATTTAAAAGAACGACGCCCACAGTGCCCGCCTACACCATGAATAATTAACGAGGACGAGGCCTTGGAAGCCTGAGCTTAGCCCAAAGCCACCCTTTGCTTCAGGCTGATGAGAGTAAGGGTTGGTGCCGTTAGAGACGCGGAGGGGAGGGTGCAAAACGAAGAGCCCCAACCTGGCGCAGCACACATCTGCTCCAAACCACTTCCTTTCCCTTTAACCTAGTTTTTCGCCGGTATTTAATTCCTCCCCCCACCCCGACCCCCCCGACCCAGAAGAGGGTAGGTTACAAGAGCTTTCATGAAAACTTCTGTTGGGAAAAACCTCCAAACGTTCCTTTTTAAACCTATCTGGGTGCCTAGAATTAAAGGAGGGTGAGTGCCTCTGGCATCTCAAGATGGGGTCCAAGACAAATCTTCCTTGCAAGGTTGAGATGAAATTTAGGATTAATTGACATATATCATGCAGTTACAAATATTCATTAATTTTGACTTACAAAGTTTTTTTGGAGCCAGTTCCTTTTTTTCTCCCCTGTCTCAAGCATTTTTTATTAGGTCTGTGACAAGGTCTCAGCCCCTAAGCTGTGGGCTATGAGTGCCTAGTGGATACCAAGGTACAGAGTGATGAGAAGTTTGGATTTTATTCAAAGTGTCATGGAAAGTCATGGAGGAGTTTTAAGCAGTGATACAATCTCATTTACATCACTTAAAGATTGCTCTGGCTTTTATGTGGAGAATGAACGAGGTGGGTGAGAGCAGAAGAGGTAAGATATGTTAGGATGTTGTGCAGAGCTGGAGTGGTGGCCTTGGAGAGACAGGTTTGAGATATATTTTGGGGATAAAACTAACTGAATTTGCTGATGTATTGGATGTGGGAGGGAGGGGAAGGAAGGAGATAGGGATGATTCCCAGGCTTCTAACTTTAATAAGTGAGTGGATGGTAATCTCATTTACTGTGATATGCCAGTGGGGAGGAGATTTTCTAGCCGAAAATTAAAAGTTTAATTTTGCAGATGGTAAATTTGATATGTCTATGAGACATCCAAGCGAGATGTCAAGGAGGCAGTTGAACTACATCTGGAGGTTGGAGGAAAAAAATCTGGGCTGGATATATAAATTTAAGAGTTTTCTGCAATAGAAGAATAGTGACCTTCAGAGACTGGGAAAAGGAAGACAAGTTCTCCAAGGAGATTGAAAAGGAGTATCTAGTGGAGTAAACTGGAGAAAACCAGGAGAGAATGTAGTCACAGAGAAGGCTTGAAAGGGAGTGCTTCAAGAACGAGAGTGGTCAGCTGGGCCCAGTGCTGCTGATTTCAGCCAGGTGTCCACTGGATTAGCAATCTAATTTAGATAGAAGTACTGTGTGTCCACCTTGTCATTCCCCATCTCAGGAACCTATGGTGACTTTGCCTTGTCAGCCACATCAAACTCAAATCCCTCTGCCATTTCTTCAATGTCCTCTATAATCTCTTCCTCCTCTATTGGTTCATTCATTATTTATGATCCATGCTCATTTTCTGCCAAGCCCCGTGTTAATTGCAGCATAAGTATGGATTCTGTCTTCTTGTGGCTCATGGTCACAAGCACCCATCCTGGAGTAACATGTAGCAGGAATCAAATCTGCTATTTCAGCGAGGATGGGGGGGAAGGGGGAGAGGGATGGGAGGAGGTGTCTCTTCTTCAGCAGATTCACCCCCACTCTTTGTGCTGAACCTTCCATCAAAAATGACTTCCTTTCTTTCTAAATCTTCCTCCAGGACCCACTTTAAGATTGACACCCTGCATAAAGCTTGTTTCT